AGAAAGCCCCCCAGCATCAAGGGTGAGTTCGCTTCCTTCCCGCCTCGCCCCTGCTCACCCCCTACCCGCGGTGCGCCCCTCTGGCGGGCCTGCTTACCCGCAGGTTCGGTCAAGTGGGAGGTCGCCTGCGAGGGGGAGAAGAGTTTGCCTCCTCCCGGAGGTGGGGGGCAAATGCGGGGGGACTCAGCACGGAGGCACCCCCCTTTACCTCCGGGGCGACTCCGATAGGAGTTTGTTTCCTTTTCAGTAACCTGTGGAAACCTGGGGACTCCTCTCGCTCACCCCACCCCCTTCCTCCTCCAAGAGCTTGGGTATCTGTTGCACCTTCCTTGTCAGGGCAGTGGAGAGAGACGCGACTCGTGACTCCTGGTGTCTCATCCTTTTCCGAAGCGCTCTCTCTCTCTCTCTCTCTCTCTCTCTCTCTCTCTCTCTCTCTCTCTGTCTCTCTCTCAATTTCCTAGTTTCCTTGCTCACAACCTCTCACCACCTCCTCTTTATCTCTAAGGTGACAGTTCTGTATTCATTTTCCCAAGCTCCATCCACTGGAGGAGACAGGCGCTGTCTGATTTTCTTCTTTCCGGACGGTCCAGGGAACTTGCTACCTGCTGGGTCCCTGCAAGCCGTGTCCCTCTTCCCGACCTGCCGAGGCCAGCAGTGGCTCCGACTGAGCCGTCCCCTGTTGCTCCTTTGGAACCAGGGGTTCTAAAGTTGGAAAGTTCAGGAGGAGAACTGATGGCAGGGAGGGCAAGGGAGAGCTTGTTGCTGGGGTGACTTGAGACTTGCAGCTTGAACCCGGCTGCCCTCGGGAGGGCCTCCTGGGCTGGGTGGCGTCTGGGTGGTCCCCTGGACTCATCGAGCTTGGCGCGCAGGGAACACCCGCCGCGGACTCGCAAAGGTAGCGGCTCGCAGGCTTCTTCGCGCTGCTGCGCTCTTGCTGGAGAACCAGCAGGGGCCAAGAGGTCTGCAGCACTGCGGAGAGGTGGAAACCTGCTCCACTTGCGCGGAGAGGAAGGCTGCGCGTGGGGGAAGTAAACCTGAGGGTAGTGGGGAGGTGGAATGGGAGGAGGCGTTTGAAATTGGCTTTCAACCCAATGGGCCTAATGACCCGGAAGGTGGACACTTACTGCCCTTTAAGGTTATATAAAATTGAACCAAGGGTTTGCGATAGCAGGGCGGGTATTACTGAATTTATTGGCTTGGTCTACAGCAGTGCACTTTGCTTTGGCGTGCTTCTTGCTTATTTCTCCAAGTCTTGCTTGTGGGAGCTTAGCTCCACTCTAGAGGTCACTAGGGGGACACAACTTTATCTTGTTGCTTCAGCTTGCTGTTTAATTGCTGCAAAGTACTCAAATCACTTATTGGAAAGGACTTAGAATCATGCCCCTTAATCTTATAGAAGACATTACTAGAAAAACACCCGGGATCTTCTCTTTGAAACAGTAATGTATATATAACGGTTTAATTGCAATATATTTCTTTATCTATATATTACTGATCCCTTAAAATAGAAGAGCCTTAAACCTGCTTTTTTACATCCAATTAATTAGCATGTTTATCGTGGTAGAAGATTAAAGAAAGAATAAGAGATTATATTCATCTGTAATTTCCTTACCATAATATCAAAGAAGTAGTGGAAACCCATATTGACAAGGTGCATAGGCTGCACTTTTGGTTCTCTCCTTTTTTATGGAACCATGTGGCACGATGAGCAAAACAGAAGAATTGTTTTCAGCATTGCTGATGTGGCTGTCCACTGGCAGGAATACATTCCATACTCACCTCAAACCTTGCAGATTGTAAATGGTCCATGAAGAATGGAAAACATCTTACAGTTTTACAGTACATGTTAGCTGGAGACACACTTACCCTTGAAGTTAATCTTGGCAGAAGTACAAAGAAGGTCAAATTAATAAGAAATGTCTAATATAAGAGATTTGATGAAAATCATATCATAAAGAACTCACCCCCCCCATCAAGAGATTTTGAATGCCAAGATAGGATTGTGTGTATTTTCCTAAATGTAATTTAATAGTGAAAAAAATGAATAGCTATTAATACAGTTTGTCATTAAGCGTTAATAGTTCTTCTGGAAGAGTTAACATTCATACTTTCCTAGGATATATCAAACATTTTTTTAGTTCTTTAAAAATCAGGATTTCTCATAATACATCCTTTTCTTTTATTACCTCTTATTGACATGTGTGCTCTCTCTTCTATTGTTTCTTTTTAACTAGCTAATAGATATTCATTCATATTTTCAAGATTATTATAAAAAATACCTTTCTTTTTAATCCTTGGAGTTTCACGGCAGCAAAGCAGAATTAATTGTAATATTTCATAGACAACAAGCAGATGCAGCAAATTGCAATCCATTGACTTGCTTTAATTTTGCCTTTTAGAGGAGAAATCTACAAAAGCATCTGACTGCAGGCTTTCTGAACTGCTCTCAGACATCAGCTGCTAAGCTACAACCAACTAAACTGGTACTTCCTGGTAGAAACCAAATTGCTAGTTTTTTTTTTGTGTGTGTGTGGGGGGGGACAGGCTCCTGCGGTGAACTTTGCTGGATAATAAACTATAGGTTTAGCAATATTTCATGCTGTGTTGGTTATCCTCTTAACAGAACTGCTTCTCTGCTTAGTTACACTGCAAGTGGTGAAAGATCATTTGCTGGAACATATGAGAGGCAAGTTGCTTATTGGCTTCTTAATTCCTAGCAATAGAGACTACATATCTAGAGCAGCTGGAAAGTGGCCAAAGGGATATACAGTTTCTTAACATTAACAGAAGAATAAGATGAGATTGCAGTATTTTTCATGGGAGACTAGCATGCATTTGTGACAACTTATCAAAAAGATAACTTTGCAAAAAAGCAAATAGAGTGTTTATCAATGAAATATTGATAATATTTTAATGAACACAGTGCATGATCAATAAAAAGTCTTATAAACACAAGTTTTTACATTAGTTATAGTGCATTAACCTTCCATTTCCCCCCCATGTAGTATTAATACAACAAGGATTTCTTGCCCAGTTTAAGTCTAAAGATTAAGTTATACTTAATCAATCTATTAGATGAATTCTTCTATTAATTCTCCTATTAATAGATTCATCTGCCCATGCATTCATTCAGCATATATTTATTGCTCACAGAATATGTACCATGTTCTATGCAAAACACTAGGGATACAGTTTTGAATATGATGGACAACGAATAGTACATTAGGATAGGTAAACGGCAGGTAAACAAATACAAGAAAATTTCACAGTGATTAGTATCATGAAGAAAATAACAAAGTGATATGTTCGAAAGTGATTATAGGGCTACTTTAGAGTATCTAAGCAGGTGACGTTTAAATTGGGAACCAAGATAGGGAAATTTACATGCCAAGATGTGGAACTTAGAACTGCAGGCCTGAGGCAAGAATGATGTAATAGCTTTGCATGTTCAAGTTTGGAAGGAGTATAGTACATAAGATAGCAATAAGTAGGGAGAGTTCAAGTCTTTTTGACCCTAAATGGTGGAGTGGAAATTTTATTTTAAGTGCAGTGATAAGTTAATTGAATATTCATTAGATGATTGGGGCTGCATTCATATCCTGGAGGATGATTTCAGAGACAGCAGCTTTCCTGTGTCAACTCCCTGGACCAAGTAAAGCTACCCAATGAACTTTATTTACTTTTCTAAAAGACCCAGTTATAATCAAGTGTCCCCTTTTACTATTCACCAAAATACCCATGATGTTTGGGGTTGAGATGCTGATAACATTTCTAGTAATGTCATTACTATTCTAAATTACTATTCTAAAGAGAAAGAGGACTAATTCAATATTTTATTTTTTTAAAGATTTATTTATTTATGCATACAGGAACTGGGGTACAGGTCAGAGATGTGGGGGATGAGAGGATTCACCAGAGACAGAGTGGGGAACAGAACAGGCAGACTGACTGAAATAGACTGCTGAGGGGAGCAGCATCAGGAGAGCTCTGCTGTGGCATGTGGGCTGCTCCCTGGCCAGGGATTGAACTCGTGCTGCAGTGGCTGTGATATCTTCATAGTTTGCATCCTAACCCCTTATGCCATCAGGAAGGACCCCTAATTCAATATTCTAGTAAAGATTTTCAGGTCACCCACCTAAGAGCCTCTCAAAACAAGTAATTCTTAGAAGAAACACACTGTAAAGTTAGAAGGAGGAGTTATAGAGTCTAGAACATAACTAGGCAGTAGGTGGGATGTGGAAGTCAGCAGGGGGCTCCTAGGTAGAGTGGTGTCCATAAAAGAAGGGTGGTGTTGGGAAAGGGAACCTCTCTAAGAGACATCATCCAATTCATGATTTTGTCAAGAGAAGCTGAAGCCTGATGGGAGAGTGCTTCAAGAGAAACACTCTAATTCAAGCACAAAGGAAGTTCAAAGCAGGGTACCTTTATGCTTTCTGACTGATCTTTTACTTGTGAAACATAACAATAAAAGCATACAGTCTTTCAAAAAGTCTCTTTGATTTTACTTAATGATTATTAGGTTGTCCTTATCGATTGACCTTGCAGATGAAAATAGCATGAAAAAATTAATGATAAAATCTACCATTTGTTGGAGGTAGCTGTTTGACAGCTAGTTAGCAGGAAAATTATGCTCTTGGGTCTCTGATCTTACTGTGGAGATATTGGGGCGATGGGGAATAGGATCCTTTGGGTGATTTTTTGTCATCTAAATCAGGAGACAACATGATATTTAGAGAAGATATAAATGATAATTATTTAAAAACTCTCCCCTGCTTTCTTTCACCTCCAAGCTATCTGCCATTTTTTGTCAAGGATTATCAATGAAAAATATGAGAATTTTTGTAGCCTCGGGGCTTTGTTGTGCCCCCACTCTCTCATCCTTTGTACTCCAAGTATCTCTTTTGAGGCTATCAAGGTGGGCAGTACCTCAGCAACTATGTAACTAAGAATGAGACTTGCCCCTTAGTGATACTGTAACTATGTGTTTATGACATCAGCTCTTTTTTCAGAGTCTTGAGAGTCATAGTATGTGAACATTAGGAGGAAGCCTCAGTGTTTATAGAGTTATTGGAGGATGATAGAGTAAGAGGTGAGTGATACTGCCAAATATATCTATAAGGAATTTAGTCAAGTTTATAATTTGTAAATACATATTCTGTATAATCAATATATATTTTGACTCCATAATATTTATGATTTAAGTCAAGATATATACATTTACATCAAGGTACATATTTTTACATCAAGATATTTATATATACATATATGCGTCTGAGAGTGTATCACCTATCATGAATTTGGTGAAGTTTACTATTTGTAAAAACATAAATCAAAATCTCTATATCTATCTACAATGTATATCTTGATGTATATATAAAAGTGCTCAGTTCCCCATTTATATTTAGACTTCATTCTTTATACATGTGAGCATGATAATATTTCTATTCTACATAGAGATCAAAGACATTAGGTGCTTCTAGAGGTCTAAGAATAATTTATGTGCTATGGATCGAGGCATAACCAAATCCCATGACTCTCTTTTCTTGTCTACATCTATTATCTTAATATGTTTCCTTTCTTCAAGGTCTATCAAGTCTAACTTAGACAGGGAGAGCATCAATTTTTTTTTCTCTGCTAAATCAATAGCATGATACATCTTAAAATTTCCACAGAAGTGTGATAACTGTATTGTTTGTGATACACTTTTAAAATTAGAAATACATAGCTAACAAAAAGTAGGCTAACTGCTCTCAGATGCTCAAGTAACGTGTAGAGGTTTTAGGGTTCTCTAGAGATAAGTAGGCAAAGCATGGTGAACAAATGTTCTTACTTTTTGAGGTGGTGTAGGAAAGGTTATATCTGGTTCTGCTCTGAGGTGGATTGAGATTATTTTGCCTTTCATGTGGTAAACCTTTTGACTCTTGAAGATAGCCAGACTTCAAGATGGCTTTAGTTTTCTTCACCTACTTCACACAACCTTACACACTGCCCTCCCATGTGGAATCTGACTATGCGCCAGTACTTAAAATAGAAGCCTATGTTGTACATAAAGGTATTGTGGCTTTTGCCTTGCTTTTTTATCCTTATATCACTTTCTTTAGGGGAAAACTAGCTGCTGTGTTGTGAAAACACGTATCCCTGTTGAAAGGTCTATTTGGGGAGGTACTGAGGAATCCCACTAGTAGTCTGCACCAACTTGCCAACCGTGTGAGCGATATATCTTGGAAGCAAATCCTTCCACCCTCTAATTATTCATTCAGCTGTTCATAGCTTCAACCAACATCTGACAGAACGTCATTTGAATTCTGGTCCAGAATGCCCCAGCTAAGTTTCTGGATCACAGAAACTATGTGAGATAATAAATGGGTACTGTTGTCATAAGCCATTATTATGAAGCATTAGGTTATAAATACATCTGTGGTTCATTTTTTTTGCACCTCCACTTTGGGAGACAGGAACCCTCTCCCTGGTGGCTATATATGAGGGAAGATGTTGTACCGTAAAAGATCATTTTGAAAAACTCTCCATTATAGTGGGATTAATTTAATTTTACAATTATGCTATGGTTTTTCCCACACTCCATCTGCCACTTCCAGGCTCCTGAGACTAAAAGGAATTCACAGTTTTATTACTAGTCTTGGCAGTGGGATTGAATCTTAGTTCTCTTCTTTACTTTGGTGAAATGGGCTAAAAACCTGAAGTTCTCTTTTCCTATTTTCCTTAAGTTCTTTTTTTATAATTTTTTTAAGATTTATTTATTTATACAAGCACTGGGTACAGTCAGAAGTGTGGGAGGGTGAGAGAATTCACCAGAGTCAGAGCAGGGAACACTACAGGCAGACTGATGAAATACACTGCTGAGGGGAGCAGCGGGCGGCGGGAGAGGTCTGTACACCATGTGGGACCCTCGCCAGTGGCTGGGGATCGAACCGGTGCTGCAGAGGCTGCGGACAGCTTCGCAGCCCAGCGCTCAACCACTACGCCACCAGGGAGGCCCTCCTTAATTTCTTTTAAGCAGTCTTTTTCTCCTCCCCCTTTTTGGTCCTCATTCCTACTTTCTATGGCTGGTAACTTTCAGGCAGAAGCCTGGCCAAACTAAAAATCAATGTGATAGAGAACACACAGGTCCCAAAAGTCAATGACTTCATTCCCCCCAAACAGAAAAGAAAAAATATCTCTTGAAACCTAAAATATTTGTGACAGAACCTCTCTGACTGTATTTATCTACTATTTCCTACTGAAGAATCCTTCTTCCCTCTCAGTCCTAATAATCCTTTGATATGTAACCAGGAGGGTGAGAATGAGGATAAAGAAGAAAAGGAGACAGCTTTATCCCTCTCATTCTTCCTTCATGCATTTGACAATTTAATTAACTAAACATCTATTTTGCACTAGGAATTATTCAAAGAGCATTTGGGATACATCAGAAGCTAAAATGAGGCTTCATGAGGCTTACCTTCTAGATTGGGAAGATAATAAGTTATAAACACAGCAAACAAATTGTTGATTTTAAAAATGGTGAAGAGTTGGGGCCTCCCTAGTGGTGCAAGGGGTTAAGATGCAACCTATGAAGTTAACTGCAGACTCTGCAGCATGAGTTCGATCCCTGGCCAGGGAGCTACCCACATGGCACAGCAGATGTCTCCTGATTTGCCTGCTGCTCCCCTCAGCAGTGTATTTCAGTCGGTCTGCCTGTTCTGTTCCCCACTCTGTCTCTGGTGAATCCTGTCACACCCCACACCTCTGGCCTGTACTCCCATTCTTGTATGGATAAATAAATAAATCTTTTAAAAATTATTAAACAAATTAAAAAATAAAAATGGCGAAGGTTTGTGAGGAAAAGAAAAACATACAGCATGGTAAAGAAGACTTGGAGTGCTGGCGATGGGATGGCTGGGGGAGGACCATCTGTATTAATAGCAATGATTGGACTTGATGTAAAAGTCAATATTAGAGGAGATGAAATTGTTATTGAAAGGAAAGAAACTTTTATTTATTTTTTTAAAAGATTTATTTTATTTATGCATGCATGCATGCAAGAGCTGGGGTGTAGGCCAGAGGTGCGGGGGGTGAGAGGATTCACTGGAGACAGAGTGGGTAGCAGAACAGCTGGAGCTACTGGAATACACTGCTGAGGGGAGCAGTGGGAGAGACAGGAGAGGTCTGCTGTGCCATGTGGGTTAAGTCCCTGGATAGGGATCAAACTCGTACTGCAGTGGCTGTGGATAGCTTCATAGTGCTGAGACTTAACCCCTTGCGCCACCAGGGAGGCCCCCAGAAGAAACTTTTAGAGAGAGAAAAGTCAGTGCAAAGACCCTAAGGTAAAGTAGACCAGGCATCTTTAATGAGCAGAGAGGAGGCTGAATGGAACTAGTAGGGGAACTGAAATAGAAAAGGGGAGACACAAAGTTGAGGGAGAATCATTTAGGTCCATTAGACAATTTTTAGGACTTTGTCTTTTATCCAGAGTAAAATGGGGCACCAGTACAGGTTTTAAACAGGAGAATAATATGATTTGACTTAACAGTTTAAAAGAGTGGTTGTGGCTGTTATGTTCAGAACATCCTACAGGGGTGAGGAGAGAAGCTGGAAGCTTGGTAAGGAGACTTTTGAAATGCTTCTGTGGACAGATAATGCTGACATCTGTAAGTGGTAACAGTGGAGGACATAAAAAAATGGAAGGCTACTGAATATATTTTGAAGTGAGATCTAACATGTTGTATAGGATGTGGCTTGTGAGAGAAAGAGGAGTCATGGATGACTAATTAGGATGGAGTTGCCATCAACTGTTGTTGGAGTATTGTGGATGGGGCAAGCTTCCTATGGTTGAAGATGGGAGGAAAGATTAGGAGTTCAGTTTTGGACACAAGGAGGTTTGAAATATTTGTTTGATATACAACTGGGTATAACAAATAGGAATCTGGATTTATGAGTCTGGAGTCTAGGAGACAGGCCTGCCTCTTGACAAGAATTTAGGAGTCACTGGCATATAGGTGATACTTGAGACCATAGACCATAGACTGGATGGCCTCCCCAGAGAGGGAGCACAGATCATCATGAGACATGATTAGAGTCCAGGGTTACTGCACTGTTAAGAGGAAGGGGGAACAAGGAAGAAACCAGAAGAAGACATTGCAAAAAAGGAACGAGTAAGGAAGTAATCAAAAGATTTTGGGGGTCCTGTCACCAAGAGTGAAAATATACTATTGAAGAGGCTAATCGACTCTGCTGCTGATACGTGAAGATGAGGAAAGAGAAATGACCACTGGATGTATTAATGTGAAGGTCACTGCAGACCTTGACAAGGGCTATTTAAGTGGGGTTGTGGCTGTTGAGGTCTGAATGAAATAGTTTAAGAGACAATGAAAGGAGAATTCAGACAGCATCGTCAACTCTGTCATGGGTTTTGTTGCAAAGGGAGCAGACAAATGGTGCTGTGCTTAGGAGTGGGAGGAGAAGTCGAGAAAAATAAATTAAGATGGGAAAAATAACAGCAGGTTGCAGTCCTTGTTTGTTGTGATTTGCTCTTCAAGGTGGTCTTTAACCTCTTTTCACTGTTTTAAGATTTGACTGCTTTTTGTGACAGTTTCTTGGTGAGGTAAGAAGAATTTGTGTAGAATGGCTTAGTATCACTTAGCTATAGCATACTTTTTCAATCTTTATTTTATGTCTTTTAATACATTATGTTAAAAAGTATTAAACAGATGATTAAAACAGGAATAAAGGCAGATTCCTAATAAATAGTTAATAAATTATGCCACAAGGAGAAAAGTATCAGAGAGAAAAATTTGCCAGTCCCCATGTTGCTCGATGCAGCAGTTGATTCTATAAGCTGGAAAGCTCAAAAGTAACTAAAGAAAATTTAAAAAAGAAATTTGTATAGGGACTAGCCAAGTGGTTCTCCAGCCAGAGACAATTTTACATTATCCAGAGACATTTTTGATTGTCATTACTGGGGTGATGCTATTGACATCTAATGACAGAGACCAGGGATGTGGCTAAAGCTTATATATTGCTCAGGACAACTCTTCAACAAAGAATTATCTGGTTCCAATCATCAGTAGTGCCAAGGTGGAGAAATTCTGGGCT